TCTCCTTGCCATTCTACACCAAACATTGGACAAACTGAAAGCTTACTAGATCACCAGGAGTATGATAATGCATTGCGGAAAAAAGAAAAGTCAGCATTACCCATCAGTATCACATTGAAACTGCTGCAAGTCAGCGTACCATTTCATTATTTTTGTGAACTGGGGTCGAAATTCATCACTGGTGTCGAATTGCACAATATGCAAATGCGGCGGCGGACGGGTACTAAGTGAGTATGTGTTCAGCTGCCGGGTGTCGGTCAGACGAGCCGCGGTTGCCGGTAACAGTGGCTGACCAGGCACCGGCCAACCACGCAGTGATTTATAGTTAGTGCCGCGGACGGCCATTGGCCAATGACGGGAAACCGGCTTCGCTCCGCGCCGCAGCCGCCGCGGCGCCAGGTCAGACACGGTTACAGCAGTCGCAGTCCCCGACTCCGCCGAGATCAGTGCCACTTGTCCGCTGAGCTCAGTTCCCCGGCGCTGCTGAGTTTAGCTCCCTCGTGCCGCCCAGCTCAGCTAACCAGCTCCGCCGAGCTCAGTTACTCCCCGGCGGCACTGAGCTCAGTTTGGCTCTCCCGGAGCTCAGTTAAGCTGCCCCGACTCGCCGAGCTCAGTTACTCCCCGGCGGCACTGAGCTCAGTTTGGCTCTCCCGGCGCCGCCGACAGCCGTTTGCATCGTGCAGAAACGGATGCATCGCTTTATCTCCAGAATACAAGTGACAACCGGCGGCGTAGGGGTATAAATCACGGCGATTGTTTACATAGCGTGCCAGCGTCGGGCCTAATTGACCTATGGCGGCGCGTGCTCGGTGTACAAAATAGGAGGACCTCGAGCGGAGGTCGGCAGACGGCACCCGTGACGCCCGCCCCGCCCGGTGACCGTCACCCCGGCCCGCCCGGTGACCGTCACCCCGGCCCGGGCCGCTCCGCCGCCGCGCCGCCGGCGTCACGGTCACGCAGGGCCCGATAAACAATGGGGGAACGGTGCACCGTTGGCCGCGTGGCCCCCCATGCCCTTGGGGTCGCGCACCGAAGCGGCTTTCATAATTACACTGGCTCGGCAGCAAGGACACGTGTGCGTTTTGACGTGAGGGAGGAAGGTCTCAGAGGCAGTCGACGCGCCGGCTCCGAGGGCAGCGGGGGTCTGGTGGCGCTCCCGGGGGCACATACCGAGCCTGATAGCGCACCTGAGGGGCACGGACCAGCCTGGCGGGTCTTCTCTCGACGGAGAACGCAGCTGTAGATGGAGGAGTCTGCTGTTGTCAGAGGAAAGGAAAAGACGGACCTTTGCTCCCGAGGAGGAATGACAGTTACTCTTTAGCGGTGTGAAGATCGTGATCGATGACCGCAGTTGAACTGAACATAACGTTCAGAAGTTGATGGCGGTGACGACTTGCTGTGTGTTGATGAAGTTGAGCAGAGTCAGCTCGTGAAGTCAGCTGTGCTGTCCAGTTCCAGGGGCATCTACGGAGTGTATCGTGGCCGACCGGTAGTGACTATCGGGCGCGCGTGGCTGAGACCGGCTGTTCCGTCGGCCCACATCTGTGAGCAGCGATGCGCCTCTATCTCCGTCTTCAGTCTAACTTCCGTGCCAGGACAGGTAGACCGTGAGCGCCGCTACTGTCACCGCGGCCTCAAAAGACTACTCTGAGGCCGGCCGGTCAGCCCTGAGGCACTAGGCAGTGGAAGTCGGTAGGTCAGCACGCTTATCATCGGAGCCTCGAAATCACCTCATCATCTACAGAGTGTTGCTAGCAGCTCAGCGTCACACATACCAGACCGATAGCTCTGTGCAACCCTTCTGCATCATCACCGGTCTCCGCAGCTCTGCACCACCGGTCTACAGTTTCTTTGCGTCACACCGACTCCCCGAGTCTGCGCGTCAGTCTCAGTCGCCATGGCCTCGTACGGCCGGTGGCTGGCGGTGCTGCTGCCGCTGCTGCCCCTCCTGCTGACCACTGCGCCGGTGTCGGTGGGCGCCACGTGCGGCGGCGACTGCCTGGGCTCCCTGCTGGGTAACCTGTGCTGCTGCCTGTTCACCGGCCGGTGCTGCCTGGGTCCGGTGGCTGCGGGCAGGCGGAGACGAGAGGCGGAGGGCAGAGGCGGCCCGTGGTGGAGGGGTGCGGAGTGGGAGCAGCGCCCGGCGCGGCACCAGGAGTGACACAGGATAGGCACGGTGTGGTGCCACAGAGCCTGAACTGGGCTGAATGGACTCAGTGATGAATGAATTTAACACAAATTGAGATTAACTAGTACCTATGGCAACAATATGACGAGTGATGATAACTGTATTTAGTGATAAGATCTGGTAGAGTAACAATAACTATACCTATAAAAATCAAAAAAAAAATATTCAAAATCTAAAACAAGAGCACGATAAGGAAAACTCCATAAAGCTGAGATTTTACGGAAGATCATAATTGAAAACGTGGGATTAAATTCCGAGGTTGTGAGAAACAGGTCACACAGGAATGAGTGTTGCGGTTGTATGAAGAGGATTGCAACTCAAATAAATGGATCTCGGGCAAAGATAACGACCAAGATTCGGCAAATCTTCCTGTTTCATGAGCATTACCCTACAATGTGTGTGTAGATCATCACGAGACGGCAGAATTCGTGCTCGCTCAGCTCAGCCGCGTTCAGCGAACATCGCGCTCCGCTCAGCGCCTTTCTCTGCACTAATCTCCGGGGATCAGACGGACGGGCATGTTCGCCGGCTCTGGCGGGCCGGAGAGGCTCTCCAGCCGGGCCGGGGAGTGGCGCGTCGTGCCACAGACAGTCACGTGACGGCCCGGTGACGTGACGGCACTGGCACTGCGTCAACACGGCGTCACGTCCGACGGAGAGGGAAGCGCGGTGTCATCCGGGCACGAGTCGGGTGCAGCCGCCGTGCCAAGCGCGAGTTTGAGCGAGTGCAGACGCCGCAGTCCGGCGGCCGTCTCTGGACGCGCGCGGCCGCTCACGACCAGCGCGGCTCGGCGCCCGTCGAGAGCGGCTCAGCGTGGCGTCCGCGGCTCGCGGTGCATACTGCCGGCGAGCGGCCGCGCCGCGCCGCCCGACTCATTGGTATTCGTCGGGCAGCGCGTGCAGCGAGCGGCGCCCGTTGCGGTGTCGATCGCAGCCTGATGATGGCACTCTGGCGGCGCTCACCGGTGTTGAGCGCCGCTCGGAGGCCGGTACCGCCGTGTACCGCTCTGTCGGCTCTGCGCGCCACTGCCGGGCGCCGCTGTTTGGTATAATGCACCGTGTCGTGTTGTGGACGACGCTGACACGGCGTCGGCGGCTGACTGTGATCCCTGCGCTGTGATTGTTCCGAGCCAGCAGCGATCTCCACTGATCAGCGCCTGGTTATCATGGGGCTCACCATGGACTCTCGGCCGGGCGCAGACCTGGAGAGCGTCAGTAGATACCGACAGGTTCAATTCTGACCGGAGACCGGTGCGGCGCCTCAGAGACAGCTGCGGCGCGCCGCTCGCTGATCAGCGTCAGAACCATCAGTCGCACAGGTCCGTCACTGTCAGCAACGCGCACACCCGCTCCTGGTTTATGCATCGGCCGGCTCCTCAATTCAGCAGCCGAGTTTGAGCATTCCACACACCGCTGCTGGTCTCACCATATCGGACTATTCGGCGTGTTGCCATACTGAGCCGGTCGGGAACGGAAGGTCGCTTTCGCACGGTGGCGGGTCCCCGCACACCGCGCGAGAGGGACTCCCGCGTTAGTGGTCCTCTCATCTCAAGGGCCACTCTGCAGCTGCTACCTAAAGGAGCCAGCAACTACACTGAGAAACACTCAAGCCTATCCATGGTTCTCGGAGACCATGCAGGGGTCGTTCTGGTCTTGTATGAGAGCCTCAATTGGGGAGAACTTTGTTTACAGTTGTCGGTCTCCAGTTTGGTAAAGTTCTCAGGTTTTTCCCGTAACGTTCTCGAGTGAGAATGGTGTGCTATCTTGAACGAGAGCTTTGCCCGGATAAGGTACTCTTATACTGCGGGATGATCTCCCATGAGAACCTTTACCAGGTCATGAGATCGAACACAATTCCCGCTCATAATATGATCCTGTATGGTCTCCGAGAACTTTAAAACTTAAGAGCGCCGGCTTTCCTGGCACGGCATTCGCGCTCACGACCCATTCCCCCCCCTCTCCCCTCCCTGTAGAGCGCCAGCTTTTCATGGCACAGCATCCGCGTTCTCGATCCTTCCCATTCCCTCCATGCACAAACAAGGTAAAGAACAGGCATGTATATTTATTGTGTCAGATGTCAAAAAACTCACTCTGGAACAGAACATGCGATGCAGTCATTCGAACATTTTGAACATTTTGTTTCAAAAGCTGCCCAAACCCTTTCGCTTGCCGCCCCAGTCAGTACCGACCAGCGTGCTGAGTTTCAACTGTGTCGTTTAGCAAGAGACCATAATATCTCCCGGTGCACGACAGCTCAGTCCCTTTACTTTACTTTTAACACGGAATGCAGGTAAGTGCAAAAATGCATGTCAAGCGGCGTTCCCCACGGTCCACAGACTGTGCGAACGATGTACAATTCAAACACTGTTAAGTACAGGCACGTACAATGAGTTACACAGGCACAGACATTAAAAAGTTAATACAGGTAAAATGTATGGGCTGGCATGTGAACACTACCGACGGCAGTCCATGTGAGACCGAAGTCTAGCCATAGGAGCGGCGGAGGCGACGACAGCCGGTTGGCCGCTCTAGACAGTTTGCGCAGCTGGTAGCTGCATCTGGCTGGGGAGGAGCTACTCCAGCATGGCAGCCTGCTGACTGCTGAACCATGAGCGCCATCAGACGCTCCAGCTGCTCGTTGTCTCCCATCACCGGTACGAGCGATCCGACACGACGGTGTTAACTTATGTGCGTCTCTGAATCGGTGTCGCGCACAGGGTCAATCTCACTCGCGTACTGGCCACGCATATTATCGATTACACCACTATTTCACTATTTCACTGTGGCCGGACCGTCTCGGCGAACACGCCTCACCTCACCTCGCGGCACTCAGCTGTGTTGACACCAGCGCCGCTCGGACGATACTGACCCTCGGCCGCTCGGCCCGGCCCGGCCGGTCAAGGTCGTTCAAGGTCACGGCTGGCAAGGCGCGACACGCGTGACCCAGGGCCGGGACACAACAGGGACATTTTGGCGTTGTGCCCGATGAGTTGCCTCACTTCGGTGTCCAACATTGAGAGCATCGTCTCTACGGCTTCTTGCTCTGAAAGGGAGAGTAAGACAAATATTAGAGAAACGGCAGAAACGCTTAATTTCTAAGCCATATCCTCAAAGCACACGAATTGGTATTTAAGCAGATTTTGCTAACACTGGCAAACAGATGGCAATCGCAACCTGTCCTATATCCCAAAAATGGGCAATGGCACACAGATTTTGCCACCTCCCAGAGTAAGTAATTACCTTTGCTGTGGTTACTTTCAAGCTGTTAAGTGCACACAAAGAATACAGAAAACAAACTCACCATGAGACGTTCGCGCTGTGCGCCAGACACCAACTCGCGAAAGGAACAACCACGCTGCCGGCAGCCTTCGCAGTGCTTTCGAGAAAGGAAGGACCGGAAGCACTGAGGCATTATAGAGGTGTTCCTTAGGGATATCCATTTGAATTGGTTTGAACTGTTAAAATCGATAAACATCGTGTCATATAGTAAGGCTCTTTTTCATTAAAAATTATTTCTTCTACTGAAAAATACATGTTTTATTTTTATCAATAATTGCTATTTTCCTAAGCGAAAATGGAATCGCAGCACTTCAAACTGCTCTACTCTTAACACAGCGCCACCTACGCCTTTAGTTTCCTTCTGTGCTGACATCTGTCGTCAAAACACGTCAGCTGCGAGAACTATAAGGAAAAAAGTGAGAAGTTTACCATCCTTTCTGACCGAATGACTGCTGGTTCGAATCTCACCGCAGACCGACTGTTTGCGTTACACGGGTAGCTAGACAACTTCCAGTACTAAACTATCTCGGTCAAGACCAAATCCACTCCTGAAACCGAAGTGGAGACCATGCACAGTTCTCGGGAAAGACCAATTCCTCAAAGCGGCAAAATGGAAACCATCGAAGGTACTCAGGTGAGTACTATCAGTATAAGTTCTAAAATGTGTTTCTCAGTGTACACTGAGAAACACATTTTACGATGGTTTCCATTTTGCCGCTTTGAGGAATTGGTCTTTCCCGAGAACTGTGCATGGTCTCCACTTCGGTTTCAGGAGTGGATTTGGTCTTGACCGAGATAGTTTAGTACTGGAAGTTGTCTAGCTACCCGTGTAACGCAAACAGTCGGTCTGCGGTGAGATTCGAACCAGCAGTCATTCGGTCAGAAAGGATGGTAAACTTCTCACTTTTTTCCTTATAGTTCTCGCAGCTGACGTGTTTTGACGACAGATGTCAGCACAGAAGGAAACTAAAGGCGTAGGTGGCGCTGTGTTAAGAGTAGAGCAGTTTGAAGTGCTGCGATTCCATTTTCGCTTAGGAAAATAGCAATTATTGATAAAAATAAAACATGTATTTTTCAGTAGAAGAAATAATTTTTAATGAAAAAGAGCCTTACTATATGACACGATGTTTATCGATTTTAACAGTTCAAACCAATTCAAATGGATATCCCTAAGGAACACCTCTATAATGCCTCAGTGCTTCCGGTCCTTCCTTTCTCGAAAGCACTGCGAAGGCTGCCGGCAGCGTGGTTGTTCCTTTCGCGAGTTGGTGTCTGGCGCACAGCGCGAACGTCTCATGGTGAGTTTGTTTTCTGTATTCTTTGTGTGCACTTAACAGCTTGAAAGTAACCACAGCAAAGGTAATTACTTACTCTGGGAGGTGGCAAAATCTGTGTGCCATTGCCCATTTTTGGGATATAGGACAGGTTGCGATTGCCATCTGTTTGCCAGTGTTAGCAAAATCTGCTTAAATACCAATTCGTGTGCTTTGAGGATATGGCTTAGAAATTAAGCGTTTCTGCCGTTTCTCTAATATTTGTCTTACTCTCCCTTTCAGAGCAAGAAGCCGTAGAGACGATGCTCTCAATGTTGGACACCGAAGTGAGGCAACTCATCGGGCACAACGCCAAAATGTCCCTGTTGTGTCCCGGCCCTGGGTCACGCGTGTCGCGCCTTGCCAGCCGTGACCTTGAACGACCTTGACCGGCCGGGCCGGGCCGAGCGGCCGAGGGTCAGTATCGTCCGAGCGGCGCTGGTGTCAACACAGCTGAGTGCCGCGAGGTGAGGTGAGGCGTGTTCGCCGAGACGGTCCGGCCACAGTGAAATAGTGAAATAGTGGTGTAATCGATAATATGCGTGGCCAGTACGCGAGTGAGATTGACCCTGTGCGCGACACCGATTCAGAGACGCACATAAGTTAACACCGTCGTGTCGGATCGCTCGTACCGGTGATGGGAGACAACGAGCAGCTGGAGCGTCTGATGGCGCTCATGGTTCAGCAGTCAGCAGGCTGCCATGCTGGAGTAGCTCCTCCCCAGCCAGATGCAGCTACCAGCTGCGCAAACTGTCTAGAGCGGCCAACCGGCTGTCGTCGCCTCCGCCGCTCCTATGGCTAGACTTCGGTCTCACATGGACTGCCGTCGGTAGTGTTCACATGCCAGCCCATACATTTTACCTGTATTAACTTTTTAATGTCTGTGCCTGTGTAACTCATTGTACGTGCCTGTACTTAACAGTGTTTGAATTGTACATCGTTCGCACAGTCTGTGGACCGTGGGGAACGCCGCTTGACATGCATTTTTGCACTTACCTGCATTCCGTGTTAAAAGTAAAGTAAAGGGACTGAGCTGTCGTGCACCGGGAGATATTATGGTCTCTTGCTAAGCGACACAGTTGAAACTCAGCACGCTGGTCGGTACTGACTGGGGCGGCAAGCGAAAGGGTTTGGGCAGCTTTTGAAACAAAATGTTCAAAATGTTCGAATGACTGCATCGCATGTTCTGTTCCAGAGTGAGTTTTTTGACATCTGACACAATAAATATACATGCCTGTTCTTTACCTTGTTTGTGCATGGAGGGAATGGGAAGGATCGAGAACGCGGATGCTGTGCCATGAAAAGCTGGCGCTCTACAGGGAGGGGAGAGGGGGGAATGGGTCGTGAGCGCGAATGCCGTGCCAGGAAAGCCGGCGCTCTTAAGTTTTAAAGTTCTCGGAGACCATACAGGATCATATTATGAGCGGGAATTGTGTTCGTTTATGATCTCATGACCTGGTAAAGGTTCTCATGGGAGATCATCCCGCAGTATAAGAGTACCTTATCCGGGCAAAGCTCTCGTTCAAGATAGCACACCATTCTCACTCGAGAACGTTACGGGAAAAACCTGAGAACTTTACCAAACTGGAGACCGACAACTGTAAACAAAGTTCTCCCCAATTGAGGCTCTCATACAAGACCAGAACGACCCCTGCGTGGTCTCCGAGAACCATGGATAGGCTTGAGTGTTTCTCAGTGTAGCATAAGGCTCCACAGGGATGGTGGGTGGGTGACAGCAGGCGTTAGCGGCCCGGTTTCCGGTGGCTGGGACCGTGTCCCCGGCACTCCCCGTCACCCCTCCCCCTCCTCAGCTCACCGTCCGCCGCGCCGGCCAGAGCTGCAGCCAGCCGCCGCGCCGAGGGGCGACCCGCGGCCGGCCGGCCCGAAGGCCATGAAAATTACGGCGACCGTCTGATTAGCCGATGTAATGGACGTGATAAGTGGGCCGGCCGCATGTGTGGCGGTCGGGAGGCGGCGCCAGCGGGCACCGAGCGTGGGAGCCCGCCGCCCGACACGATCGGGCCGACCCGGAGCGGTTAGATGGTCAGCGCTACCGCGTCAGATCAAAACGCGTCTGGACACCCGGAAATATGCAGAACGTGCAGGTGCAGAGGAGCATATCCACATCACAGTGCCACTCAGCACAGCACTCCTGCCGAGTCGGCAAAGTATCAGGACTCAGTTACTTTTATTGATGCTGCAATGTGTCGATCCGTGAGCGTAAGCCGGCTTTGAGCCCTAATGGCAATGCACATTTATGAATGTCAAACATTTTTTACATGGAGGTTTACGACAGCCATTTGGGAAACATCTGTCCTTTTTCAATAGAAGTAATCAGTATCTGATCAGATTCATGGCTTACGCTGCCCAAATAAGTCTAATGATTTCAGAAACCAATTTATAAAACTGACGTCCCATGTCTAAGCAGCATCTCTTTCCGCAATTCTGTGAATATCCAGCACCCCTTTCGACGCCCCTTGTTCGCAGCACCAGCCGCAGCGCCGCCCTTCACGCGGGCGTCGCGTCGCTCGCGGCAGCGATCGTGGAATGTGAAAGCCAGTTGCAGCGGGCACACACTGCCACATGACTCATGGGTGGCCCGAGCGGCGCGTCTCGCGGGTGGCGGCGGCGGGCGCTGGCGATGTGAGACGGTGGTGGTAGGTTTAGGGAGAGCGGCGCCGGATCTGGACTGGCGGGGCGAGCGGCGGTGGCGGCGGCCGCGCCGGTCGTGTCCGCCTCCCGCGCTGCAGGCCACGCTAAGTGGTGACCTCCCAGGCTGGCCGCACATGCATCACTGGCGAGACGCCCCGGCCACGCCACCAGGCCGCCGCGGCAGCCGACAGTCTGTTTGACATTCATGGGCCGGCCACGGCCGAGCAGATAACAGGGCGCAGTGCGCGGCGGTACATAGCCGCAGGCCGGAGAAAAAAAAACTGAGGCAGAGTACAGAAGAGATGCTGAGGAAGAAAAGGAGGGAGGGATGCTGGGGTTTAGTAAACTATAAATGCTGAAAACAAACGAGAGGTGCTAAGCTAAGGTAGACGGTAATGCTGAAGTAAATCTGACGAGAGGCGCCAAAGTGAGGCAAAAAAGATGTGTCCAGGCATACAATTGGAAACGGATTTTAGTTACAAGTACATACTTATGGTAGACGGCAATGCATAGGAACACGTATTACATACAGTGAATTATTCGAGATCATCAACTGGGACTGACTCTTGCTGGTTAACTATTATATTTGATTCTACATAAGATTTAGAGGGTGCATGTGTGACTGCTGATGACACATGTCACATATCATCCTATTTGCGAATGCAGATAGTTATGTGACTGACTGGGAAAGCGACTGACCGACAGACCAAACTGCGAGGGGCGGATGTTGTCCCATTAACCGTATCCACGCGCCCTTCTGTGGCATGAACACCCCAAATCAACAAACACACCACCCGTGCCGTGCCGATAGAGTCCGACGGGGCGTAGCCGGGCCTAGTTTCACAACAATGGAGCGACTCGGCGCGCGCCGGAAGCGGGCGATTTACCACGCCGTCACAACGGAAGGGTACGCGGATGGCGAGCCACCGCGGACTTCCGGCCACCGTCCGGCCGGCCGACACGGCTGCTCCCGACGGCTGGATTCTCTTCGATACAGCTGGTTCATACTTTGTTGACCTGATACGGCTGTATTGATAATTACATCATTCGTGCTCAGGAGGGCGCACATTGCACCATTTCAAAACTTAACCGACTTTGAACCGGTGTAAACATGTTAACCTTCCAGGCGGTGGGGGGGGGGCATTTTTTGCCCCCCCTTTAGTTTTTTTTCAATATATCTCGAGAACCGCTGCGCCGATCGTCACCAAACTTTCAGTACCCTCCCGGGAGTAGCTAGCGCACATGCTGACCAAAATTTTTTTCCAAAGGCTATGATAGGTTGGCCGCTAATGACGTCAGAGTGACGTCATTTTTGCTATTTTCGACCCAAAAAAGGGTTTTGCGGGAAGAGCTGTCAGGCCTACAGCTTTAGAGATACAGAAAAATGATTCAGACATAAAAGGTGTGGAATCAAGAGGGCTACAAAACTGCTATTTCGGTTTTTCGAATTTTTTGGATTTTGACCCCCAAAAATCAAAAAATAGATTTTTTTAAAATAATAGCCGAAAAATCCAAAAAGTTTTTTGAATTTCGAAAAAAACCGGCATATATGTGATAGTCCCTACCGCCTTCTATCTACATACGAAATTTGAGATCAATACCTCTTTTTTTGGCCAAGTTATAGCGAAAAAACTGTTCAAAATTGATGACGTCAAATTTTCAAACTCAATTTTTAGCAATTCTAGACCTCGTAGCGCAAAAAAAGACCACCATTAGACTCCCCGTGACGTGCTGCATCGAATCGATACCCATTTTATGCAAAAATATCAACTTTGAAATTTGACCTTTTTTGACCTGACCTTGACCTGACCTCCACCAGAAAGTGACCTAAACCGTACCTGATGGTCTTATAACCAATACCATTGAGTTGGAAATGAAAGACTGGCCATAAAACATGCATCGTACAACCTTAGTAAAGTTGGGTTCATGTGGTGAGGGTGACCCTTGGTGACCTTCGGTGACCTGACCTGTGACCTGACCTGGTATGACCAGTGACCTCTAATAGCAACATATGTACTAGACAACTGACGCATTATCGCTGATTTTCGACAAAATGCGTTTTACTCGGTGTTATAGCACTTTCCCTAGAAGCCCCGTGAACGGTGAAACATTTTATCTTTGACCTGACCTGTGACGTCATCGGTGAGCCCGAGGTCAATGAAATTTTGTTTCCTTCAACAAATTTGACAGGGCTATCGAACGCCGTTTGAATTTTCCGGATCCGTCTAGTAGTTTCGGAGATACGAGGGGGGGGGGCAAAAAATGCCCCCCCCCCCACCGCGCGGAAGGTGGCTGGTAGGCCCACCGCCTGCCGGGTTAAAGCATCACTCTGACAGAAAACAGTCGTGTTGGAAACATATGCATGCGAAAAAGGTGATATATGCATTTAACATTTTCGCCGAAGTCATGCTGGCAACACGACTTGCAACCTAAGAAACGAAAGAAGATATTTTAAGCTTTATTGTAAATAAGATATTGCATTAATGGTAACAGTAGCATCACCATAAGTATTGAACAAATAACACAGAAATCGGAGAACCAAATTAAGGAGACTGCAACGGTGGTGACGACAATATCATCACAACCAGAGACTGCAACAGCTCATAGTGCACTAGCACCAGTGGAGACTGCAGCACATCATGGTGCACTAACACCACAGTGGAGACTGCAACAAATCATAATAAGGTAACACCAGCGGAGACTGCAACAGATCACAGTACACTAGCACTGATGGAGACTGCAACATATCATAGGGCACTAACACCATTAGAGACTGCAACGGATCATAGTACGCTAACACCAGGGTGGAGACTGCAACAGATCATAGCACACTAGCATTAGTGGAGCCTGTTACAAATCATAGTATACTATGATACCTATAGGTTACACTAACCTATAGGCGTTACGGCGTTAGTGTATAGTGTATACCTTGAGGTATACACTAACGCCAAAGGAGCCTGCAACAAATCATAGCACACTAGCGCCACAGCGGAGACTGCAACGAAGCATAATGCGTTAACATAAAAATGAACACTGCAGCAAATCAAACTGCTCTAACACTACGATGAAGACTGTTCAAAATATTTTCACAACACCGGCAGATTGCGATCAGTTGTTTCAGGGGCAACCGGAAGCCACGCACTTAAATACCTGTCCAGTTTCATTGTGTTATATACAAAAGTTGCTACCGAACAGAAGGCACATTGATATGGACTATCAGCCGCCCATGTTGCCACTACACCGCCCGTCACGAAGCACGCAACCAACCGCGCTGAACCACACTGTCCCCAGCTCACAGCAGTCCTGCAACGCGATGAGCACGGTGAACAGGACGATGTCAGGTCGTGCTCCACAGTCTTCACAGTTCACATCACCGCCTGCTGTTCACGGGATAGGACCACCTTCCCCACGTCATATATCGGATCAAACACCCATAGGCCATCCATTGTCAGAACTCGAACAATATAACAACTCTGTGTACTGTGGATTGTGCCTCTACCAGTCATTTCACGTTAACACAACCATCCAGCGCTATTTACAGAATATGACGCGCTTAGCGCTGGCTTATAACGTAACTGCTCTAACCACAAATTGTGTAAATCACCATCTTCGTTGTTTGCTAAAAGCAGAGTCAGCAAATCACGTCTGAAAACAATGCAGCCATTAAAAGTTGGCCTGGCACGTACTCCAGCTTACCGATGTTTGTTAGATGCATGTGTGCTGCTCACGTCTGGGAGCCAACCGACCTTGGACGCAGCAGGTCATTTCAGTTGTTCAACCGGGCTCCGTACACTGCGTAAAATCATCGAAGGTCGCGGTTTCCAGACACAAACACGAAGCGCTTGAAAATGAATGGCTCTGTTGTTTTCCGATCTGCCGTGGTTATGCAGCGGCCCTTGTTTCAGAGTGCTAAGGTCAGAAACGGTGTCGACCTGTGTCTCTCGGTATTATCACAGGCAGTACTGTAGGCTCGTGTCGTTTCTCTTTCTTCTCATAGATACTCTGGAAGTCTGGAGTGAGCTTCTTTCCTTCTCCTCCTCCTCCTTCATCTCTTTCTCCCGGCCTCTCTCCCTCTACCTGTCTGTCTCTCTGCCTCTCTCCCATCTCGTCCCCACCCTCTCTCGCCACCACTCTGCTATGGCTCCATGAGTCTGTGTCGATGAGCCATAAATTGGCGTCCGAGGAGGCTGTTGTGAGCGTCCCGTGCAGCCTCCCTCCCCCCCCCCCTGACCGGCCGGCCGGACGACACGGACAGCTAATGGCCGGGTGTCGGGGGCCGACGGCACCGCCGCGCCGGCGGTCCCAGCCCGCGACGGCCGCCGCCGGCGACGGGCCGGCCGCCGACACACCGACACCGCCGGCCGGCCGGCCTGGGTGGCCCGGCCGCGCCGCGCCGCGCCCCCTGCCCCCGCCCAGCTGAGAGCGCCGGCTGCAGCCGCCAGCCGCGGCGAGCTGGGCTCCCACCCAGGCAGGGTCGATGGAGTACGGTATCCGAGTCTCTCTGACTTCTCTTCTCTGTCCCACTCTCCCGCCTGCACTGCACTAGCACGTGCTTCTTCGTTGCCCTCCTCTTCTTAAATCAGCCGAGTTGCGGGGATAAATCGTAAGGCCCATCTTACGTCCTTATATATCTTTCCTTTGTGTTCGCAATCGAATGCAATTAGGCTACGCTGCTTTGAAGTTCTCACCTATGCATTGTATGCAGCCTTGCATTGCGCATACACAACTCAACACCGGCATAGCTAATGCGTTCCCGATACCCTGTGTACGGTTGGCTTGAGATGCTCTTGTAATGAATGTGAAGCAGCATATATTACACTGTAAACGAACGCGCCACTCAGATGACATAGACCCATTGCGCCAGACGACAGGGCACGAAGGGAGCATAACGGATGTCCGTGATAGATCACATCGAGCAAGTGTTTAGTGACACAGCTGCAGTGCCGGATGGATGTCCTGACGCCGCGAGGACAACGCTCCACCATCAGATAGCAGCGGACGACGTCAGCGCGCTGTCATAGCAACAGACCACGCTGACCTGCGCGGAGCCAGATGACCGTGTGGCCTCAGAAACGGACCGCAAATGTACCGGTTAATGACCGGTCACCGACCGCGCGAGTATACCCAGCGACCGATCACCAAATTACGAGTCAGAAGTCTGTATATAGACAATACCCCAGACACTGCGCTAGGAAGTGGATGTCATGCGTCGAAGAGAACACCTTTCCATTTAGGGATGGAGACTGTAGGGGTGCTGCATGCCGAGTCCTCTGCTATTAGTCTGGTTCGCCGTGCTAAATGTCACAGTCGCACGTCACACCGGATAGGCACTCCGAAGTCGCGGGTGGGCGGCCGCTGACTAGTCAGTCGTGGTGGCGTTGGTTAGGCGGCTCGGTGGCGCTTCTCGCTGGGCGCGGGACGTTGAGTGACCGGCCGAATTAGTGGACGACAGCAGCGTCATAAATGTACGCCCCAGGGCACTAAAGAGTCGTACGCCCATGACTGGCGCTCGGCCGGCTGTGAGGACCATCCACTCGCAGTGTTGTCGCCAGCGTTCGTGGTCAACCCAGAGAGAGGCAATTACGATGTTGGGCCGATGTAGGAGCCATCTCCCATTGTTCACTAGTAGTAACGTCGAGTGAAGGAAGGTACCGTGGCGAAAGAAACATGCATTTATACCCGTACCTAATGACTCATAACATATTCGAGTTGTAACTCAAACAGACTGTAAAATGTCATTGGATTCCATCTAGAAACAGGATAATGTTACGATGATATGCGTGATTGACAGGTAAGCCTCAAATATTTGGCATCTCACAAAATCCTTGGTGTAGTCGAGGCGGACAGTTTTGGGCGGAATTGCTGGAAGTGCGGCTTCATCAGATGGCCATGATCATTTCACGTGTCACTGAAACGAGACAACAGGCTCCTGTTCTAGTTCTGCCGCACCTCCTGACACAACGTCACAATGGAAGAAGTTTGGAAAATTTCGAACCACTCGGCTTCGTCTGGAATTTGCTAAGCTCCAGTCACACGCGTCTATGTAGTGATGCCAACGGCCACACCAGCATCGCTGTGGGGTTCCCCGCAACAATATCGGCTAAGACAGTGTGACGAGGCGCACGAGCGGCTCTACTTGGAAACATGTGCACAAACTTGTTTACTTGAACTGCGTTCAACAGTAGTCAAAAGTCGCATTGACAGTTTGTATACAAAGCCGGTCAACAACATATAGAGCACAAGAACTCTATTACCGACCACCAGCCGGTCGCCTTAGAATTCCAGCCCACGGCCCGCTTCACTACCGATACTGCCCTCTGTCGGCCGCGAGCAGAACACCACCCCGCCACCTGGTGGCCAGAGTACTGCACCTCCCCGCAATGGCCACCAGGCGACGGACGGAGATGCGTGGCACTGTGTGGCGAATCACAAAAACGGTCTTAAAATACCACTAAAAGACACCTCTGCGATTGGTGATGTCAAAATATTATCATAGCTGTGCAACTACGTCTCAGTCTGGTCTTGATCCGACGTCGGAAACCCACGCCCTGCACCACGTACTTGGTTTCATTTGACATGGACAAATATCGATCAAACAAGTTTATTACAACGATCCATTGCATGTATAACAACTGTGGCAACATGAAAACCTTGTACATACAGCCCATCGATGGTGTGAGGTAACAATATGCCCAATGTCACAGCTGAAAACCACACGGCTCTCCATACAATGTCACAGATGCAAACAACTGCACAGGTCTCCACACAATACCAGCCTACGACAGAGAAGCCACGGCAAAACACATCACCGTCGTGCACTACTGTGGCTGCGCGGATGGAAAGCACTGTCAAACGTATATTAAACTATTTGCTGCAAACACATTCAACATCCCCACATTGTACTCTGGCAGCTCCGTTCGCCAGTACGAACCCGTCGAAAAACCGATCTACCGCCACAGAACCGACCGCCTCCACCTCGAAACGATTAGAACTCTAATCGAACTTGACCTTCTTGCCCTCAAACTTGCCGATGGCGGGGCTCTGACTCTTCTTGGCCGCCCAGGACGGATGCACGCCTGCAACACACCAGTCCGACCCCGTCACACGCTGTCCATGGACCGTCTTGTGAACCGTTATACAGAATACGCATTAAATCCAATACTTATTGGTGTCACTTCATAACAGCACCTTTGAAAATTTCAGGCAGCTATTATGTATGTGCTAGTCTTAAACGATCACTTAACAACAAATCTTGGGCGACATATGAATAGATAGTTGCAAGACTAGATTTCGAATAGATGAAATAGATGACTGAAGAGATGGATAGATAAAATTAAGTTTAATAGATACTGCAAGAGAAAGAAGGGAAAATTGACACAAACTGAAGATCAATCCTAGCTGCACCCCGAAGGTCAAAACAGGGGGTTTCAAAACAGACTGAAAGTGTATCATACGTTATGGCTTGTGCAATGTTCACAGAGCCCCAGGGGAGTTAGTTGGCTGCTGAACTCACCTCCTGGGGAGGCTCCTCGTCCCCTGCCGCCGCCCCGTCCGCCTCTGTCCGAGCCGCCACGGCCGAACCCGCCCCGGCCGCGGCCGCGGTCGTCGCGGTCAAAGCCACCTCGGCCGCCGCGGAACCCGCCGCGCCCGCGGGGCCGGAACCCGCCCTCGGAACCGCCGCGGTCCGAGAACCCTCCGCGGCCGCCGCGGTCACCGCCCCTGCCCCGGAACCCGCCCCGTCCGCCCCTGTCAAAGCCTCCCCGTCCGCCCCTGCCGCGCGAGCTGTCCCGATCGAACCCGCCCCTGCCGCCGCGGTCCCCTCCCCGGCCCCGACCCCTGAACCCGCCCCTGCCGCCGCGGTCGAACCCGCCACGACCTCCCCTGAAGCCGCCCCTGCCGCTGCGGTCGAACCCTCCCCGGCCGCGGCCCCTGAAGCCGCCCCTGTCGCCGCCGCGCCCCCTGCCCCGGCCCCGCGGCGGTCCGGCCCCGGCGTCGTCGCCCGAGTCGCTGGCGTTTCCGTCCAGGTACCCGGGCCGGAGCAGCTTGCCTTTGGGCTTGTCGCCCTCCTCGGCCGAGTCGTCTGACCTGGAAATCGGCACACTGCGGTCAGCACCGCACGCGGAACCGTACGGTGCGCACATATCTACGCACGCAAACACTGAGATTGAATAGGTTATACCAATGCAGACTTACACTGGTTGTGTTGTAAGAATATCCGGGAGTTCATGAAATCTGGGAAGTCACACCTTGAATTTCGGTGCTAAAAGGTATGATAGAAAACCCATAGCTCGTGAATTATACATAGGGGAGAGTGGGGCACATTCGTGCAAAAAAAGGATAAATCCATAGATCTGTTCTTTGGTTGGTGCGATTGGAAAATTGTTGATTGTAGTATGGAAAGGAGCTATTACAGATATTTTCCTCTTTCAAAGCTATCATCTAAAATTGTCGGTTCTATTAGTAAAAAATTACTTTTAGCATCTCTGAACGTGTGCACGCAACTGCCCCAGGTATGGGGCACATTCGTGCAAGGGGTGGGGCACCTCCGTGCACCCTGCAAAGTTCGAAGAATTACCGGGCATTACCATAAATTTACCAAAAGAAATTGGCAGGGGGTCATTTCACTTGATTACTTTCGACAAGAATGCATTGCACAACAAATGTAGAAAGAATGGGCTAGCCAACAGAAAGTGCCAACTGCCGGCCATCGGCCCGCCTCCGTGACCTCGCCAAGGTCGCGTGAATTACTTGTCACGACGTCGCAAGCAGCCGAGACTGAGTCAGGCGAGCGCCATAAGTGAAACCTTATACAGATAGTCATAAAACATAAAAACGAAAAAAATATGCACGAATGTGCCCCTAGGCAGTGCGTGCACGAAACTGCCCTACAACGTTATTTGTAATATATTTCAAAATTTATTGTTGAAAAATGACACCTTTTCAACAAACAAGATAGCAGCAGTTCCGTGAATAGAGTGAGCTTCTTCGACCCCAATTTTGAAAAGCTGAACCACATTTCCGAGTCAGGATCACGAAAATTGATGCTATGAGAAAAGTTTGGAAAGCGCACGAATATTACAACTTTGCGTTTCTATCAAGCATGACAGCAGGTAGAGTGTTGTCTTATACAGTACACGAGGGGCGGCCATGATAGACATATTTTCATAATTTACCTTGAGCTCGTGCAGTCACTCGTGTTCCCATAAACTGCTGAAAACGAATGTGCGCATATGCACGAAAGTGCCCCACTCTCCCCTACATGTTTCTAAACACAAGGGGAAAACGCTAACCACAACACACGCTTATCATGTGCCTCTCCTCTCTTTCTACTTTCCTCAGAACAACATTGCATTACAATCCTTAGAACATTGCATTACTTTCCTAATTATAACAGCATTGGAAAATGCAATCGTAGTTACCAGTTAGTGCGCTCCGGTCAGCCCAATCCACACCCCACCGCGCACTCTGAGCCCACTGACACCCCTCCACGTACCGGTCTGCCCGAGGCCCTGCCGACATCGCGCCGCCGCCGCCCCTGCCCTGGAAGCGTCCGCGGTGGCCGCGCTCGGCTCCCCTCCACTTGCCGCGCGGCACGCGCTCGCCGGCCGCGCCGGCGCGCAGCTGCTGCCGCTCCACCATCCGCCGGCGGCCCTGCATCAGCACGTCGTCGCCGGCGTCTCCGTCATCGTCATCGCCGTCCTCGTCGGCTTCCTCATCCTCCTGGCCGCGACGGAGTCAGAGGGTCAGCCAGAGGCAGGATTTAGGCAAAGCAACATCCATAACAGTTACATAACAGCCTTTCATACGATACAGAAAATGAGGCCTTAGATGGAGTGTGCGCCGTTTGTTGACAGGAAGGGCCAACCCAGAACCCGTTTGTCACAAAAAGTGAGTCATCTAGTTACGCTTGCTGATCGTCCGTCGGCCAGTGAATAAGTTATGAAATATCAATAAAAAGTGTCAGCTGTCAGGTAACCGTAAACACTCACCTCATCCTCATCGTCGATGCCCCCCATGAAGAACGACGAGCGCTTCGAGTTGGCCGTCGGCTCATCGTCCGACTCGTCGTCGTCGTCGTCTTCGTCTAGACTGATATCCTTGTCCTCGGCCACTTCATCCAACTTGATACGCTTTATCTTCATCTGACCCTTGCTCTTGCCAATGTCTTCCTTTTTGCCATTCAGTGGTCTCTTGCCTCCCTTCGCTGCCACAGGAGCCGCCTCTTCCTCCTCAGACATGCTCTCATCTTCATCCTCCTCTTCGCCTTCGCCGTCCTCACCTTCCGACTCGCCATCGTCGGACTCCATGGAGACCAGCCCGCCGTGTCTGGCGGCGATGTGTGCGTCGACGTCGTCCGTGTCTGGCTCGTCGTCTTCGTCCCGAGAGTCATATTCGTCCTCATCGGAACTTACGTCGCCATTTTCACCCAAATCGTGTTCATTCATCAACTTCTCATATTCATCCATTTCGTCCGAGTCGGCAGTACCATTAGCCACGATATTCGAAGTCTCTGCGTCCCCGTCGTCGTCGCTATCTACTTCATCCTCCTCTCCTCTCTCTTCTTCACCCTCTTCTCCGCTCTCTTCTTCACCCTCATCTCCGCTCTCTTCGGCTAATCCATCTGCCTCGTCTTCGCCGTCAGATTCGTCTTCTTCCCCTTCCTCAGCCATTCTGTCCAATAACTCTGGTTCTCCTTCACTGTCTGACTCTTCCTCCTGTTCATCCAGATCATCGTCTTCGTCATCGCTTTCGTCAGCCTCAACAACTGTCTGCTTGTTCGGTTTCTTCGCGGTTGTCTTTTTGGACGGTGTGGCGGCAGACTTCACTTTAGCGGGCGATATCACCTCGTCATCAGCATCGCTTTCATTTTCCTCGTCCGATTCATCGCCTCCCCCGTCATCGCCCGAATCATTTGACTCTCCGGCGCTGTCGCCTCCCGAGCCGCCGCCCGACTTGGGCTTGTACGGCTTTATCTTCAGCAGAAGTCTGGGCACGTCTTTCTCCCAAGTGGGGTGCCGCTGTCTGAATTTCTGCAGCTTCTCCTGGAAAGCCGGAAACATCGCGACACGGGCCTTTGCTCTGACGTCGATTGGCGTATTAGCATTATTGATAACACTCTCCAGATCCTTTGTTTCCGCAACACCATATCTGGCTACTTCATCCTTCTTCAATTTCTGCAAAAGAATGGATAATAGGTGTCAATAACAAGTACCTACCAAATGATAAAGCATGGAATGACTAAAGTCTTGCCAATCTCAAAATGTTCCTTAAAAGTTAGCTGTAACTTTCATTAAATCGCTTAGTCAAGCTGCACAGTGTAATGAAGTTCATGACAAAAGAACTTGCATGCAACTTTAAAATGTGCATTTCAACCAACCTTCAATAATTGAATTTCCTCCTTCAGGCGCTTCAGTTTACGTGCGTTTTTCTCAAGCTGCTTTTCGTTGCCTTTCTTCTTTTCTAGCAGAGCAGCATGTTTTGTCAGCTTACTAACCACATTGACCTTTGCTTGCTTCACCCTTTTCCTCAATACAACGAGCTGGGCAGAGAGAAAAATCAATCAGCATTCAATGAGCAAAATTAAGTCCAACATCTAGAGAGAAAACCTTATTTATAGCACAAACAAAGCAATATCATCCAAAGCCCTTCTTAAAAGATTGGGTTCAAATTACCTGGCAAACATGAGTTTGCTAGTCCCAGCCGGCCATCCCAAATGAGGCCCACATGGGCTAGAAGTGGGAAATCTGGGCGAATGTGGGCTGGGCTACAGCTGCCGGACATTGGTCACGTGACCACATTTTCCGTTTGACCTTGAGTTGGCACCAGATTTTGTCGACAGATGTGGCGCAGCTTATTTTACTGCATTATTTTAGATGCTAAATATTTAGACTGTGGTGGTAAATGATACCGTGTAAATAATATTGAATCATCGGTGACATAGTTACCATTGAAACTTGAATAGCATCAATAAAATACAATTAAACTATTATTACTCTTCCATTGATTTTATTGTGTTTGCAGGCATAGGTAGAAACTGAAGAGCTGAGCCTGCAGCTTACAGTTGTTCTTCTATAATTATTAATGCATAATTCAAGGCTACTGAGGGCTGCAAATTTGTTTCACTTATCTTTAATAACTTATGCCCTACCTTCATCAACCATTATCTGTAAGAATCTTGCATCAATCATTACCAGACTTATTAGTGTTTTTTTTTACATGCCTATACGCCCCGGCCGCGAGAGTGAGCGGGTACGACTCCCTCGCCCTAATTGAGCTAGCCTCGCGGGAAAAACAAGCATGTGTGCCGTTACGGGACCGGGGACGCAGCGATTGATGCACGCTTTAAAAGTCTTAGGTCAACTGGTGGCCTCTGAGGGTCAGGTCAAGTGCCCCGAGGGCCAAAATACGATTTCGGGTTTTGAGAAATAACTTTGCCAAAAAACGGCGCAGAGTCGCGATTTTAGTACCATCATGTTTGTCATGCTCCGGTGCGTCAAATGGTACACTTTTGTTTGGGTGGGGTCAACATAAGCTGCTCACATCGGGTCAAAGTCAGGTCAGAGGCACTCAGGTCACGAAGTTGGTCGGAGGAGATTATATCGTATATCATTCGATTCGGTAGGTCTTCCCGAGTCCATTGGCGACTTTTCCGACTTGCCAGTTCAATTTTAACTGGAGTTATTGGCGAAAAAACTTGTGACCTTTGTGAAAAGATGCAAAGGTGAAGCATTGGACATTGCAAGAAGTGCATGAAATTGCGATTCCATGTGCTTGAGCTAGGTTTAGATCATTCTCGGCGTCAAAATTACAGTTTCCATATTTTTCCCATCGACATGTAATGGTGACGTCACGCGATCGGCCTGACCTCATGTGACCTCTAGGAGAAATCCGGGATATACAAGTTTTGAGACTTCTAGAGGATACTAGGTCCTGTACGTATCATCTCGCTGTGACAGCTCCTCTGGCACCGAAGGCATTGCGAAGTTTCGGTATTTTGGGACTATTGCAGAGGTTCACGTGTGACGTCATAAGTCAGTGATCTAACCTGAGACGGAAATGCAATTGGTTTCCAAAGATGCGTATGGAAGCAAAGATAAGGTGTGCCAAATAGCAGCCCTCTAGCTGTAAGGTGTTTTGAGCTATCGCCAAAAGTCGTGAGTGGAGCGCTACTGACTCCTCCAGTCGGCCGCCGGGGGTTAGGAGGCGTGCAGGGTATCGGAAAACCACCTGGTACTTAGCGAATTTTGCCGATAAAAATACGTATCTTATGCCGACTTATAGCCAAAAGACGACTGAATATCAAACCAGTCGTATCCTTGCACTAAATGGCTTGGTTTAGACACGATAGGTCTTAAAAGAAAAGGCCCCATGCATTCTCTATGGGCGCCGCGAGGCCGTTGGCACCAGAGTTTCGGGAAGTGCCCTCGCCACAACCGCACGTGCAGATTTGGTCACGTGACCAAGCGCGTTTGCCGCCACTGTATTTATATACACTGTGGGCTGGGCTACATCTGGGCATGTCACGGGCGTCCAACTGGGTCCCAGATGGGCTAAATAGCATATTTACGTCTGGACAACGAGTTGCGTTGGAGAGGCCGGAAATAGTGGCGATTTCAGGACCGCAAGAATGGACCGCCATTGGAATGATTCTTTTTGAACCCGTGCACTGTTTTTGGCTGGAATTTAATAGTTAGTACAAAACATTTTGTGATTACGTTTGGCCAAGAATGAATACCATCAGCGCTAAGTTTTCACTACCATTGCATTTTGTCCAGAAGCATATAGTGCTGTAATATTGCAGTTCTTGCGCGTTTGTTACAAAATATGAAGCAAACATGCAAAAAGGTTCCAAAGTAACGTTGTATATCGCAAAATATATTGACCTCAAGTTCCATCCGTTGCATGATTGACTAGACAGATTTACACATTTCAAGTTTATCTTGGATCAGAGGTGTCAGTGTAGTTCATCAGTGCCAGAGGTTAACTTGAGGGGAAGCTATGATAATTGCTCTTGTCCATCCACTAAGAAGTTATTAAATATTACATATTTTGTTTTGTGTATTCCAAGAGGAGAGGGAACTATTTTCTTTGTGCCTTCATGTCAGAATTGAAGATGGATCATACAATTTTCAAGGCAGTTAATCAACCAAGTATTTAGTCTTTCTCATATATAAGCTGTGACTAAGAAGAAAAGGTTGATCAATCCTGAAGTTCAGTCATCTTACTTCAACTTGGCAGGAAGATCCCCAAGGACAGAGGATATATTGTATACCTATCCTGTAAATCAAAGCGTTTTTGTGACTGCAAGGCTTAGCTATTTGTTGTGTGCTCGGAGTGAGGCTATGGGCGTTTTTGTTGTATGTTTTTGTGGGAGATTGAATATAACTGTGACCCTGTGTTTGTTTGTATATTTACTACAGTCCAACAGCACACTCACCTGACATACTCATTACTCACCCAGCTCATAGCTTTACCCCACAGGATTTGTACTTGTTGATGTCTTGAGCATGAACAAAGCACTAAAGTAGCCTAGTTATCATTTCCCACATTTTTCTGAGCATCTAACATGGCATACACTGTTGTGCTGAGCAGCTTCAGAGAAGAGACACTTTAAACGCACAGACTCTCACCATGCCACCCAATGAGCCAGTTCCTCATTTGACTGTTTCCCTGGATAGTTGGATGCGGCTTGGCAAGGTGAGCTAACTGTTGGCAAGTTGAAGGTTAGCAGGTGAGATGGAGCTAGGGTGAGTAAGTACCTACCTATAACTGAATGCTACTGCTATGCAGGTCTTGGGTAGGTTGCAAATATGTGTGATGAATGATGATTGAGGTTAGGTCAGATTAGTCAGGTATGCTCAGCCCTCAGGTCACATTTTTATGGACACTAGGCAATTTAAAAACTAACAACCTAATATAAGAGCACCCAACTAACCTACACAACTACTAGCTATATGACTAAGTACCTACCTACTTGTGCCTACATCTCGAGTCGAGATGTAGGCACAAGTTTCTCGAGATTCTCGACTCATACCAAGTCAAAATAAACTATAAAGTTCCTTGCTGGAAGATTACCCTCAGTACTTTTTATCACAGCCCTGTGAAGAAAACTAATACTTCTAAGTTCTGAGTCATTTCTGGTCATCCACAGAAAGAAATGCTGACAGCTTTGCTATTGTATATTGGACCAATAATCACTCATGACTATGAACACATCATACGATCACATCGTTGCATGGATTGTATTTGTCACATTGACAATTCTTCTTAAATCCTTTTTTTCAAGAAATGCAAAGTAATGATGAACATCAAATTAAACATTTAACTGATTTAGTGATCCAAGCGGCAAGCTGTCTCCTCCAGTAGCAATGGAATGATTGTGTGTTTCATTTGCCAGACACTGAGTAATTTGCACATTACGACATTACCATTCTGCAAAGTAAAGCTGCCCGAGTTCATTCACTCTAGATTTTTTCACTTGATAGTTAACACAAATTAATCTTGCTGTTGTAAGTTATAATTCAATATTCACACCAATACATCAATATGCGTTCATCAGCCAGCATTTTCTCAAATTTTCTGGCTTGATATTGCTCAGCGTGCTCTTCAGTATTGATCTCCTGCAATAGTATAGCTTGTTTTTTACCAATAAGCTCTTTTAATTTTACTTTTTCTTGCTGATAAGTGAGCCAGACCAACTTGCGTTTATCAACCAACATTTCCTAAATTCAACTTGATATTGCTCAGGGCTCAGGAGTCAGGACTCTGGAGCCTTAGCCTCCTGGATACTTGGAATTGTTTTCAGTCAACATGTTTCTTTAATATGATACGCGTATAATTCAATCACAAGGGATCCGAAACTTCCAACAAAACGACGTACACGAGTACGAAAACACCAGATGAACTTGAAAAAGGCCTTTTGGAACAGAGCCAAGCGGTGCTCCATTTGTTTGTTTACAATAATTGTAGTGCTGATGTATTGTTTTATGACTCTAGCGGTCGGCTTATTAAAATGAAACAATTTAACCAAATCTATTAGGCAAGTAATATTTTTCTGAGAGAACTAAAATATTTAAAAGCTAAACACTATGAAATACAGGAATCGGAACGAAAAAGTAACCTAAAAATCCAGCCTAATCACCGGCTCCTAAAACTGCGACAAAATCAGCACTTTTCCCCGCAACTCGTTGTCCAGACGTAAATATGCGGCTAAATAGGCTAACTTTACGTGCTGGACTTGGCCAGCGCCTCCACTCTTCAAACTCATAGTGAGACAATCTGGAGATACGGAGAATGTGTCTGCGCACTCCACAGCGTGCATGCCTAGTGCCTATCGTTACTTTGTTATTTAGTTTCAGCATAACTATATGCAGTGATCTGTGCCGCTACCCTGCCAGACTCCTGATCTGGCAGCCACCTAGGCACGCCCCTGCCCGCGTTCCTGCCAGATCGCTGATACTGTGCCGCCGGCGTTCGTTGTGTGGCGGCACCGCCGGCAGTTGGTGACTAAAATTCGTTTTTTTCCAAAGGACGCTGGCT